GGCGCGCGCGCGCGCACACCCCCCCCCATTTGGGGCATGCCGAGTTTCTCCATCAAAAACACCTGGCAAAATTAGTGTGTTGGGGTCGTTTATGGAATGGTAAGAACTGGAAGACTCCTGGATCCGCAGAAGCCAGGATTATTCAAAGAAATCGAGAGGAGTCTGGGCAGTGGACAGCGAGTGCGCAGGTGAGCAAGGGATCTTCATCTGTAAGAAGCCACCATTAACGCTTTGGAGGTGGTGACTCGACTGCCCAGACCTTCCCTGCGCGCCCTGCAGCCGCCCAGCGTCACCGTCACAATAGCTACAGCTACAGCCGCCCCGAAGGGCACTCGGCTGCAGTAGCAGCAGCCTGACAAGTGTGATAAAATGATCTTCCTTAACTAAACTCGTAAAGCACTGGGCAATAAAACTCAATCTTCTGTAAAATCCAATTAAGTCATTATCTGACTGATTGTATCTTTAATTGAAAACAGAAGTGACAGTAAATTTCTGTGATATATCAGGATCAATCGATACCGCTATACGATTCAGCCCCAAGAAGTGATTTATAATGTCAAACCTATATAGGTAACTCCACATTATTCTCTCTAAAACCACTGGTGGATGAAATTAAGAGTAAGTGCATTTAATAAAAAACAAGATGGTCAGGTTATTGATTACAACAGATGGGGGTGAAATCAAATAGATGTTTTCAAAGCACAGAGCGAAGAAAATACAAGTAATTTCTTTTTTCCTGTTTAATACCTCTCACCAAATATACACACAAGAAAATTCAGTCATCAATAACATTTTTATTTCAGGTACAGCTGCAACTACACAGAACAATGAATTTTTTTTAGACTAGTTTCATTTCAGGATGGCTTCTGTTACATAAGGAAGTACTTTACAAGCAATTTTTTAACAAAATAATGAACTCAGAAATCTGTAGTAACTTTTAAAGAGGTACTTATTTTCAAATCAGATTACAACCTAACGTTACAAAATAATCTAGATTGCATCCATTTTTTTCTTGTAGTAGAATATGTATCGTAAACTCTTATTCTGAAGAAACACACAGGAAATTTCTGCATTACTAGAGTTACTTTAAATTGTACTGCTTTCAAATTACCCTTTACAGAAAAGGCAGCAATTCTCAAAGGCATTACTTTTTCCTTCTGACTATGTTTCAGTCATGTTTTGGATTTGAGGGGATGGGATGGGGGCTTGGCTTTTCCAACAGCAACACAAACATACAGTATTTCTATTTCCTCTAACCTTCTGCAGATTTCAAAAATAATCGCTAACTGTCTGCTCTTCTCACCAGTCAGGTATTTTGGCTAAATTTATATTTTTGCAGTTGTATTAAAATATTAAATTTCAAAAAAAACCTAAGGCACCTAGGATTTCATTTTAAAACTAAAACACCTAATTATGACACATTTAGATTCAAGTGTACTGCTCTGCTTGAGTGAATTATTGTATTTCTTGAAAACTACATGTAAACTAGTGTCATAAAAAATGAGGGGCACAACAACTATCTGAGATTGAACTCCGTGAGCAAAGCACTTAATTGTTGCAGATAGCAGTCACAGATCCTAAACTATTCCAAATGTGTTCTAGCCTCCGGGCTAAGCTCTACGGAGTATAAACCAAATGCATCCTCAACAGTTAAGTTGGCAACGTAAGTCAAAAAGCAAAATGTTAACAACAAACCCTGTGTATGAATGGAACAAGCCTGCGGCTACAAATGAACGCCAAACGCTTACTCGTCGTCCTCGATGACAGGAGTGACCGTGAAGCTGCTGGGCTCCGAGGCGGGCTCGCACTCGAGCACTCCCTTTGTGCTCTCGTTGCTGATAGGAGAGCTGCTGGAGAGGGAAACCAAGCCCGAATCTTGGCTGCTAGGTGGCGAGAATACTGGAAAGTGGAGACAGAGGGAGAAGAGTGAGTTACAAGTGGCTAGTATTTCTGTATTCGGTGTTCAGTTAGGTTCCAACAAAGAAAAAGGTACTCCGCAATTTCTATGTTGAAAGCGTTTTTATAGACACCAATTAAAATCCCCAGAGCTTCTTCAGAATAAAAAAAAACCACAGCATTATCTATTTAACTTAAGAGGTTAGTTAGGGAGCAGAGTTTCAATTTTATGTTCATTAAAAACAGTCTGCTCCCCCCTCTTTGGGGAAACTATTTCCACCCTTAACTGAGCCCCTCCCCTTTATATAAAGGATGCTAACAGAAGGAGCCTTGTCAAACGACCCATCTGACAAATTACCCCAAGCAAGATCCCACCAAGGTATTTCCACCGTTTGACAGGTAACCCTAGTTTCTCAGCATATAGCAAGTGAAGGTGAGAGCTTATCAACGTCCCTGTTATTTCCTTGGAGAGAGGGAAACTAGCACTTGGAGGGGGTGGTTAGCATACATAACTTGTAAAAGGTAAAAAGCAGTAAATGGGAAGGAAACCTTTTTAAAAACACAGAAAGTAAAAGAAATTAAATTATGTAACACTGAAACAAGTCAGGTAAAGGTTTTAACAGCAAACTCATAAACATAAAACGTCACTGGGAAACCAACATTAAATATGAAGGATGCAAAAGTAATAATATGTTGAACAATTTTTGCAACCTTACAAGCCACAGTAGATACAAAATTTAAGCAAAAGGGTCTCTGACCTTCTTAATCTTAGCCGAGTTTAGATCCACCCCCAGAACTCCCTTCCTGCCTAGTGTGAATGTAATTAAGGGGAAGCTGCAGTGGTAATTTCTCTCCTCATTAACTTCCTGATTGGTTTCAGCCTCAGGATTCTGCCGGGCAGTAGTTTGTCACCAATTCCAAATGGCCAATCGTTAATACTAATGTTTGTGTAACTAACTGCCAGCATCTGCCACGGCTTCTTGTACAACAATAATGGTGAAAGGGTACATTAGTGCTCCTGTGTTAATTCAGCTTGTGTTCATCAATAGGGAAATCTATGATGTAATTAGCAAAATGCACTGGGAGCTGAGTGCTGAAGTCATTTGTAGAGAACTAAATCATAGTAGAAGCTGTACTGGGTCCTGATGTGTTTGCCATCAATACTTATTATGTTTGGAATTTAATAAGGTATATTACCATGCTGAAAAGAGACCTTTTTACAAGAGAACACTATTTACGCTTGTTATGGGTTTGGAAAAGGTTTGCTGCAGCTAGTGGAACAACACAGAAATAAAAGAACAGAGCTGGGATTTAAGCAGCTGATCTTTAACCACTCTACTGGACCAAATTATTCCAGAAAGCCCCTTTCTTCTAACGTGACGTACATACAGACAGACAGATGGAGAGTTTTGGATAGTTACCTCAATATCCAAAAAGGAAAGGAGTGATCTGAAAACTGAGTAAGTTAAAATTTTTGAAAAACAATCTAGGTAGTTTCCTGATAAGCAATTTACTTTTGATATTGATATTATTTGTTCAGTTTTTAGTAACTTAAATAAAAAGCAAGCAAGGTACTAGTTTGTAAGCTTTAAAAAAAAAAGGAAAAAGCAGTTAAATAGTACTTTATAGATACCCCAAAAAGCATGTGCATGTGTGTATAAATATATAATAGCAACTCCCTTAAACTGGGAACTTATGAAACATGAAACCTTCATTTTATTGCAGTTCTTAAAGGCTGCTTACTAAATTTGAATTGTTATATGGATGTTAATTTCCCCACAAATCCAAGACAATTTATGAATTGTGTTACACGCTCAGGGATGTTGTATACACAGGGGACAGCAGACTTTGCTCAGACATCTTGTTTCTACACACAGATCTGAAGCACCAACTAAGAGCCAACCAGAATCTGTGAGTTAATCTGCCCACCCCCATTCCCACACCTCAAACCAGTGATAGAAGGTCCTCTGAATAGAAGAGATGGGGAAGGGAGGGCACTTTTACTGACTGCTTCTTGTATGCCACTTACTTTAATAATGAGTATTTACATTTAACCCTCAAACCATCGCTGAGAATTATTCTCCCTACTTTACAAAGGGGACCCTGTGGAAGCTGCCAAGGGCAGAGCAGCACTGGTCAGCCCCACCTTCTGGCCTGTTCTCACCACTGCAACATCCCACCCTTGGGTGCCACATTTAGTCACTGGCCACGGAACCTTCCTAACTTCTGTGTGTGTTTAAGGAAGCAAAATAACTGACCCTTGTCAGTTTACTGCAGAGGCTATAAAGGGTAACAGGTAAGCGTCCCCCAGACATGTTCTGAGCCCTGAGTTTGCCTTCTGCTTACAGTTAACAGCTGACCTAGGGGTACCCCTCCACTCCTCATTCAGCCCACTTGGGACTGAAAAAGGGAGGGACAGGAATTCTGCAAAAGAAAGGAATTTTGGGATAGCCCTTTTTGCTCTCACTTTCCTTGTGGATATTTTCTTTAAAAGTGTTCCTGTGACCTGGAGCTATAAAAACGTGCACAGTGGGTCACCTACACAGACTAAGGGAGGCTCTGAGCATGCTCAACGCATGACTGCACTCCAGAGAAGATGCAAATAAAGGAACTCAACCTGTTTGGGAAAATACCTGTATTTTTAAAAGCTTTTCTCCATTCAAAATTTAAATCTAGTTCATTTTACTTTCATTTGTTCAAGGCTTAGCATTGTCTTTGAATAATAGGCTGTTGAAGTTAGAGATAGTATCTGTCTGTTTAACTCATTCTGTGTAGCACCTTGTAAAAGTAGTTCCAAGTGCATTAAAGATCTAGTAAGTGTTTATTTTAGTGACTAATGTCCAAAATTTATTTCACTATCATCCTTAAATCCAGTCCCTCGGGTACCCTCTTCCTTCAAATGCAGCTTCATTAAACTTTATTGGGGGAAAGAGTAATAATTGGTCATTTAAAATCATTTTATACCAATTTTTAAAAAGCCAAAATTCTTTTTGCTTGTTGATTCTAATGAGCCCTGCAGAAGGCTAATTTCAACTCAAAAGTTTCCTCTTCATTATTTTGTAAAAATACTAATGCCTAGTGTCCATGGGACTGTGGGGAAAGATACGCTGTTGGTCGCACTGGAAATTGGTTCAATCTTTCTGGACAGCAATCTAGTGACATGGAATAAGAACCGTAAAACTGTTCATACCCCTTGACCTGGTAATTCCACTCTGGGGAATAAACCCAAAGAAAGAAAGAATAATTGGCCGGGAGATGCTCAACACACTGCTATTTGCATGAGTGAAGACTGAGCTCTTTGCTCTGGTGCAGGGGGTAGGGCAGGGATGGGGGCAGCTGCGTTGGGCCTGGGGGGCAGGAAGCTCTCACAGGCAATCAACAATTCAGGATTATGCTACCCTGTAATCATCCATAGGCTCCCAGCATTTATAGACAGGGAAGAAATGACTTCTGGAGAGAAGAGACTAGAGACTGAAAAGTAAGAAAAGGGCAAAAAGGGAGGACGTGCCCATCTGATCTGTTTTCGTGTTACAATGAAAGGAGACTAAACCCTGAGGCTGACCCTTGTTTGAACCAGCAAGCCCAGTATCTGTTTTCTCTCAAGCAGCCTGTTTGTCTACAGAAGCTAAATGGTCTTTCTTTTATTATATTTTAAAACGAACAAAAAAACCTTACACATAATCACTCTTACCAATGTAGGGGGAAAGGATGATGTCAGTGATGCCATCTAACTACCAATATTCTTTTTGGAAAGCCTTAGAGACTTCCCCTAAAACCCACCTCTCTAAAAACAAAACAAAACAAAAACAATCTAACTGCTAAATCTTTTGACATTGCAAAGACCCCTGACTTTTAACTTGAACGATCTGTTGGAAATCAATGGACCGGAAGGAATAATTCTCTTCCAGCGATGTGGGAAAACAGGATATTCATGCTGGAGAAAAAAAATTTTCTTTTTCTATCTGTTAAGTACTATTAAACTCCCACTAAGAAAGCATTTTAAAAATCAAAATGCAAGTGGCATTCTTCAACTGTTAGCAACTCTTCACCTAGATGCTGACAGGAAAAAAAACAAAAGTGCCGGCCTCTTTAGCTTCCTAGAGTTTGCAGGCCCAGGAGTCTGATGAAAAGCTGATGAATGTCTCAAACAAGGAATTCTTCCGCTTAGTGATAACCATAGTGTTTGGAAATAAAATCATGCCCAATCAATACCACTTAGCAGATATTTAATGTTTCACAATAGAACTCTTTTCCAGAGTAGAACTCTGCCCTTCTCACTAACATTGAAAATAATTAGGATTATCTCAGCTATCCGAGGCTTGGCAGGTTCAGTTTGTACTTTCAAACAGCATTAATTCTTGGCACTCAGAGCAAGGGATAAAAGGTAAAGATATGAATGGAGATCTTTATTCCACCTGATCTATTATGGATTAGCTCATTCTTTTCCAGTTCATGCCTGCACTCTAGTGAAGAGGAAGGCTAAGCTGTAACTGATGTAATTAGAAACCACAAGCTGAGAAGAGAATAGCCCTTTATTAATCTCCCCCATTTACTATACATTTACTAAAAAAATAATAATCTTTGAAACAATTAAGCGTGCTTTTTTCCACCTATGTGTAATTAAAGACCAGTGACAAGAGAGAGGGGCTGTTGAGGATTATGCTTTCCCTGAAAACATTATCTTAATTGTCAGCTCTAAAATCTAACACCAGTTTTGAGAGGCGCCGGCTCTGCACTCTGTGTGTTGTGGAGTGAAGTGGCCAAGCTGTCACACAGGAGAGCTCCTGTCTGTGGAAGGAGGCACATGCCTGGTGCTCCCTCCTGGCTGCAACTACAACACCCTGTGCAACCCCTGGGCAGAGCCATCTTCACAAACGAGGGGGATGGATAACAGAAAGCACATAGTTTTCCACCCGCAGCACTGCCTCTCTCCCTCTAAAGTTCATGTACAACATGGATACACAATTTACAAGGTAATACTCTAACTTTTTAATTCTCAAAAT